AATGCTATAAATTCCAAATTAAAACCAGTAAGGAAACGTCAAATGTTGGGCGGGCCGACTATATGATACCTTGCACCCCTATGCATATATAGTAGAGCTAACTAATTTATTTAAAGTAGATCATACCATCTATCAACCTTTGGCTTTAGAGCAGTTATAATTTGGTATCAGAGGAAAGGCACATCGAATTCTGAATTAATTTTCACTAAATTTGACGGAGATATTTAAAACGTTTATACCAAAAATCATTGCTATAGAATTATTGTATCACTTCGAGAAGGATTATATTAAAATTATATTATTAACGAGCTCTATAAGATATCTGATACCGAATATCATTGTTGTCGAATGCATATTACGAATGTGAGGGTCTTATAATCCCAAATCAGATGAAACATATATACATATATACAGGGTGAAAAAACTGCAAACAACTTCAGACTGCTGTCATTCCTAAGCCATTCGTACAAAAGCATTTTGGTGAGAATTTTCCAGAAAAAAAGTTATCGTGATGGAATTCAAGCGTGATAGTGTGATTTATTTATATTTGTGGCACGTGCAGTGTGTGCCATTTCACCGTCCTGTTGGAACCACATGTTTTCCAATCCCAACTCAACAAGTTGCGGCAAAAAAGTGATCATTGCTTTGTAGAGCTCACCATTCACAGTAACCGTCCGGTCCGCGACGTCTTCGAAGAAAAAAGGTCCGACACTTCTCCAGCGAAAGCAGCACACAATACAGTGATTTTGAGTGGGTGTAATGACTATTCGTGGGTTACACGCGGATTTTCAGTTCCCCAGTGGTGATGGGCCTCATCACTCATGATTATTTTTTATGAAGAAACATCTTTTCTTGGTGGCGATTAAGGATGGCTTGAGCGTATGTTAGACGCGATTGGCGGTCAGCAGCTAACAGCTGATGCACCATCTGGACTTTGTACGAAACATCTTCAAATCTTGTACCAAAATTCGCTGTAAAGTCTGTCGACTGTTACCCATTTGCGTGGCACGTCGACTAGTCGATGTCGACGGCGCTTCCATGACATCCCTGGCTACATCAGCAATATTCTCTGCAGAAAAGTAATCCTCCTATCATTTTCTGATAAAAGGGGTTATTTTTGCGCCACCTTTATATTTGATACAATAAGACTCTAGTGAATAGTTGAATTTTTGTAATGTCCTTCGAAGTAAGCTACCATTCTGGTTGTGTCAAAGAGCTGGAGAAAACATTCAATATCAAGAAGAAAGTTTTAAATTCTAAAATGTCTAATGCTAGCACCGAAATCATACCGCAGGAATGGTAAAAGCTGTTTCAGAAGGCACAGCTAAACATAAGAGAACAGCGTGATTACTTTGATGTATATGACCAGATGGAACTAAGGCAAACAAAGCTAGACTTTTCAGCTAGCATCAAATGTGTAATATTTTTTTATATCTATTCTGTATATAACCAACTCTGTATGCTTCTTATTCGCTTTGTTTTTTTTTTTTTATATCAAAAGCTCTATTATTATCGATAGTAATAGTATAAGTACACAAAGACACGCTTACGTACAAATTTACATCTACATGGGTACATCAATTTCTATATGTTTACAACTTGAAATTATACATTTTATCTAAATTGCTCTTGAAATAGCTCTACGTTAGAAAAATTAAAAAATACATTTTCCTTTAGATACATGTACACTGAAAAAAAAAAAACTTAAAACAATACGAAACATACAAATAAATACACACGTAAAATATTCAAAATACATTAAAATATTTCATGTCATTATTTTTGCTACCATTTTTAAGTTCCAATTTATGTCCCTGGGTCTAATTAAATGTAGCTTTTAATACGCAAACGATCAAGACAGTGATGTCGTTTATTTGGTATACCAACGTTATATCAAAACAGTTAAGTTCTATCCAGTTTTTTGTTGTTTTTAAACCCTCAAACTTATGATACTAGAGGGTATATATCATTTAATAGATCAACGTCGAAATAGCGGCTTTATACTCTAGGCCATTTTGGACAAAATCAGTTTTAAGGATTCAAGCTACCCATGTCTGTCTTTGGTGCTCTGGTCAAACTTGGAATTGATGATATTCGGCCCAGAATGGAATTGAAAAATAGTTCAGCTTAAAATAAGGTAGAGGAGCTATATATGTTCTATTCGTATTAACATAAATTCTAAATATGAACATGTATTTGTTATAGGTGGCTGCGCTAAACATGCAAAGTTTTTCCATAACTGCATTTTATTTTGATTTGAATGAATCTTGTGACTTTTGTTCATTCTTACACAGGCTTTATTAATGTTCCTAACATAGTAATTTATATAACTATTGTTTTCTTCTTGGGACTTACCAACCCATTTTTTCAATTAAACAAATTTAATACGTGGTGAAGGCCTAAAATGCGGAAAATTCGGAAAAGCCTTAAAAACGAAATCATTTTCCCAATCAGGAACAGTCTGTCATTAGACATTCATTTTTTCCCAAAGTGTATATCGTGTCTATCTATCAAACAGTTTGCATGTAAACACTTCAGTTTTTGGTATTTAGATCACAGGTGCAACCGAATAAATAACACCATTATCACAATACAACAAAAGACAACCAACACATGCATAGCGGCGGGTATTTCGTGTGGTAATAACACTTTTATATGAGGGATAGGTTCACAAGTTAAAGATCAGTTCTTGATTAAAAACAAATCTCGAATGTGAAAATAATTTAAGGGCATCCAGTGATCTGGAGAGTTGAAGTGACAACAAATTATCCAAAATGTACAATAATTAGCCAAAAAACGTGAAGGAAATAATATGTTCAGACCAAGTGACTAACCAGTATAAACTTGGGAGCTATATGAGCTAAATTACTTATCTATGGGAAATTTTTTGTTTTTCTTCGTCATACTTTCCGGTAGTTTAAAACTATCGCACTGAATTTTGGATGCTGTAACTCTGTTAAAGGCTTAACGATATTTTCTGCATGACCATGATCAACCTCCAGCCGATTTCTTGGTAATTCTGAAAAGACACGTTGTTCATTTTATTACAGATTGGACATGCACCGAACCAAATATCGGACGTCCGACACGTCTGTTTAAAGTCTGAAGTTGAGTTCCACGCGTCTACTGACGAATGTCAGAATTCTGCTAATTTGTCTGAGGGATTTTTACCTTGTTGTTAAGTTTTTTGTCTTCTGCTGGTTTGGTAACATTTGTCGAAAACAAGTAAAGATGCATTTTTACTTGTTTTCGACAAATGTTCGGCCGGACCGAACTTTTAATATCCTCCACTTTTAATGTCCTGCACCAAGGATCTTGAAACATTTTAAAATAATCCGTCAAATCCGTGAATAATATTGCTAAGACATCAAAATACCGAATAAAGGGAGGTACCGTTATATGTGGGCTGTGCGAAGACGTGGACCTGGACAATTTTCCGTCTCGGGTTGAAGTATTCATCATTTATCGGGAGGTACCGTTATATGGGGAAACATGACCTGCCTGCACACAGAAGACTGATGGTTTTGGATCCATGGTATGGTTTTGGATCCAAAATGAGAAAAATAGCTTGTCCTATGGACTTCACCAAAGCCATTGATACGTTATGGCAATATGACATCGTATACAGAATACATAGATTCAAAGGACAAACTTGTCGCATAGTTGAAAGTTTTCTTAAGGATCGAATCCCTCATGGCAGTATGATAACAAGCTGCCAGAGAAACGACTGGTTAAAACGAGTGCTGAGACCAGTATTGTACAACTCGTTCGTCAGCGACATCCCTGGACCACATGGAAGAGGATTAGGGCTCTTGTACGTCGATGACATTTTATTGAGGTTACGAGGAGACTTGGCCTCAAAGTGTGAATGTGTATGTCTGTGGTTGTACAAAGTCAATAAAAATCTACAGCAAAAAGTTCAGAGCTACATTCCTTCCACCAGCGTTGTTTACGAATTCTTTGGAATTGCAGATACAATTACCAGGTTATAATAATGCCCGACAAATTCGACTTCTACAGCCTTACGACAAACAGATTTTTTTTTATAAAAAAAAGGATATGAGAAGGGAGGATATTGACATCATGTTTAGATATGAGACCAACAATCGTCGTCTTCATAATGAAGAATGCTCTTTACTTCCTGGAAAGGAGTCAAGCCGGAGAAAAAAAGTGAACCAATTCCTGAAGTACCAAGAGGAACGCCCTAACATACTCAGAAGAAAGCACCTGTCACACAGAGATATTTTGAGCTACAAAAGTTACCTGGTACCAAATATCACTCTTTTGGAGTCCATATTACGCATGTAAGGGACTTAAAGCCCTAAATCGGATGACACATATATATGGGAGCTATAGATATATCTGAACCGGAGGAGATGGTTTTTTACTACTTTATTTCTATTTCTTTAAGTATAGAATTATAATCCGACGATGGAATATGAATAAACGACAATTTCCACATCTAAAATTGCAAAAATACATGTAGCAAAGAACTACCCTCGTACACCATTACGCTTATGCCACATCGTAAATGCGGAAAAGATTGCAATTTAATATTCTTAGTTTTTGATTATTCCCGTTGAAAGATTTCAATTTTTCACTCATGTACATACACACATTTTCACACGCACACACACACATGTACCGGGAAAATCAAACAGGTTGCTTGTGTAAAACATAACCATGTTGTCTGCTGTCTTTCTAACAATGCTAAGCTTGATTAGTTCGTAAATCATGAAACTGATATCCATGATGATCTTGTTTTCTTCTTTGGGATTTCGGTTAATGAACACACCTGAGAACTTTCCAAGTGAAATTATTTTTTCACGAGCTTACTTTAATGTGGTATGAAGAAATATAGGAAAGAACTCAAAGAGAAGAGTTAAAATCAGAGCTTTTGGAGCATAGTTAAGCCGAATAGATAGATAGGCAAAAAATATATGTTGCATAAAGGAAAAACTAAATATTTTGAAATATTACAAATCCCTATTTTCTTACAGGTTCCATAAGAACGTCACTCTTGGCTGGCACCAAATTCAATGTCACATGGCACTTGGCATATCCTCACCGGGTAAGTTCATGCAATTGATTGACTGATCAATAGAAGCTAGATTTTGCATATTTTAACAACTCTTAATTGATTACAACTAATTTATTATGTACAAGTTTAAAATATAGAATAGTAGGGCTATATTTTTTATTCCAAGTTTTCATTTAAAAAAATTTTAATATTTTAATTTTCGAAAAAAAATAAAACATATGAAAAGCCGAGCTCTACTGAACAATGCCCAAATATAATATATTAATATTACATATTTTTCAATTACAACAACTTGCAAAGATAAGCGACGAGAATGACCCAGCAACTAGCTATGCTAAATTCTATTGTTGGTCCAGCACTGGGCTGGGGCTTTTCCGTTGGTGGCACAGAGGTACTATTGTTATTTCCACCACCGCCATCACCACCGCCATCACCACCATCGGCTCTTACGCCATTACAAGCACCCAATTCACTTGGATCACACATCTCACATTTGTCGGAAGCCAAACAAGCCCTCTGTTCTTCCAATGTTGAGGTACAACCACGTACTACACGACTACCATCCTTGGTAGCAAAACAATACATGTTCGCGGTGCGACTTATGGGACAGCGAGTGGGTTGCAAAGCATCTACATTGTTGGAACATTTAGAGTCCTGGACAAAATATTCCAAATATTATTGTTGTTCTTTATGGATCTTCATCTCCTACTTACCGAACTCGAATCACATTGAACGCATTCGAATACATAGGCTGCCCATTTGTTGCAAAGATTTTCATTACACTTGTGGCACTCGGGTAGGTCATCAGCATCATCCGAATCACATTTGGTGCGTAAATGTTTTGCTAGATTTCCCAAGCAACCTTGAGCTTGAATTGTTGCTGCAAATTCCAAAAAAAAAAAAAGAACGAATAAAAATATTTCCCAACTCTTCTCATATGGTCTCTCCTTTACAACTTACATCCATCATAGACTGTGGCACAAATATCCACACCATTCGAACAGGTTTCCACACTTTGATATGTAGAGCGCAGGCAATTGATACCCTCGCATTGGTAACAGGAACGTTGTGCCGCAATCGAGTAAATTTGTAGAGTGGCAAACAGGAACAAAACCAGGAGTTTGTTTCCCCCACAAAAACGGCCGGTGGTTTGATGACCCAAAGCTAACTGCATTTTATGGCTTCCGAGAATGCATTGAAGGCAATACTCGCCACAGTATTGATAATATACACCGTGGTTACATACACTCAATTGAATTTTCAAATCGATAGAATTAGAGATAGAGATTTCAAGTGGCCCCTTTTGAGAGTTGTTGCAATTGGCAATCTATCTGTGTTTACATTAACCATATTGCCCGTGGCATTTGTCATCAGAACGAATATCAACCATGAAGATAACAACTCGAGAGTCAATTCTAACAAATCGTCATAGAGTGCTGTTGATTAATTCGCATTACATTCGCAGAAGGAAACTTTCCATAATTTCTAAAATTCCCGGCAATGGTTACACGATTAAATGGCATGCATGGAGTGACTACTGAATACTTGAATAATTGTTTCAACCTTGCCCAATTTTTTTAGATAATCCAAATTGTATACTATTATTGTTCTCTGTATCGGCACTATTAGTTATTTCCAACAACAATTGTGAAACTCTACTGATCCCCGAAAGCTACGTCTGTTTTCACGTCCTTAAAATCTATTTGTATAGAGCTAGTAGTTTGTAAAATTTTACTTCTTTTATCATAAACACACTATGTATGCCATACCGATCATCAACATATCGACGAGCTGGGTCCGTCTGTTCAAAAGAAACACAAACATTTTGGAGATAATAAGTATAAAATTAACGATGTTTGGAAATGACACTTCTGAGTTTTACATTGATGCTGATCTCGTTAACGTATAGATCCGAATATTTGAAATAAGGGAAAATATATACAGGAATCTAAGTTTTCAAATATTGTTAGCACGAAATTTCGCACAATCTCGTGGCTCCTGCCAAAAACAGTTCCAAATCATTTTGCATAAAATTCTTGAAATAATGACAAGAATAAAATTAAGCCAAAACATAAAAAACACATATGCAAAAGTTTTTCAGATCTGAGGAAACATTTTACGAAAAATTAACAAAAACAAGTGAAAAAGAAGCTAAGTTCGGCCGGGTCGAACTTTTAATACCCTCCACCATTTGGAAGGAACTTGAAAATTTTCCAAAAATTTTCGAAAACTACCACTTAAATGAAAAACGTTACATGGGGACTATGCGAAGACGTGAACCTGCTTCAGAATTTCATGAATTTCAAAATTCAAGCCAAGACTAGACTTCAATATTGAAGTTTGATAAGAATTAATCAAATTTCGTAGGATTTTAAAATGTTAGTACGAATTTCGAAATCTCAACATAGGTCCCATCAATAGTTTATAAATTTCAACACCTTAGCTCTAAAAGTACAGAATTTTAGTACTATTAACACCGATTTAGTTCTTTAATTTAGTTAATTTTTCAAAAATGCAATATTATCTTATATCCTAAGTCAGTTGTGGCCTACATGTAAAATTTCAAGATTCCAGATTCAAAAGTGCATTTAATACTTTTTAAGATTTAGTCTGGACCAAGTTTTGATACACCCTGTCCTTTTCGCACGCTTTATGCACACAGTGATACCCATGCCAGATGTAAGCATTCAAACTTTACTTCTTCCACTTGGCACTTTTGGTATATTTTTAGGATAAATGAATTCAAAATTCAAAAAAATTTAAATATTTTTACCTTCGTTGAACGAAAAGCTGAATTTGAAAATTTCCTTCCACGTTATGGCACACATATACAAGTTGGGGCAAATATAATCCTCCTATAAGAAAATATTATTTTATATATTTGCCCCTAACGTCTTCCATGTCTGTAGCTATAAGACTGAAGGTAAAGTTATGATGGAGTCACCATATAAGGGTATATTGTCAAGACAATCCATACATGGAAAATTTCTAAATTTATGTTTAAATATCCTCTCAAATGAATAAACATTGCTCTGAATTATTAACTTTCTTTTAATTCTCAAAATTTGTTTTGAGTCTTAAATAACAGTTTTTTTTTTGTTTGTCATATGAATGATACCAGTCCAAATTATCCATTTCAACATTTCGAAACATTTTTTTACCACCATTTCAATATAAAAAATTCCAATATTACTAGTTTAAATTATAATTGATTTTAATTATTAACTCTCCTCTCTAATAATTGCTCTCCGCTCCACCCAGTGGTTAAGTATTTAGTTTTCAGTTGTTGTGACCAACAATTTTTAATTTCTGAAATCACTTAGTTTTGAAAGTGTTTTATTGGTACTTTTAATGTAATCATTTATGCATTTTATTTGTTTTATTTTATGGTTAATTAATTAAAAGCGATGACGCTGGTTGTTGTGGGTATTGGATTACAAGTTTCTTCTTTAAACAATTATTAAACATTGTTTTTAATAATAGTTGTGTCCCAGAACATGCAATATAGTACGATATTGTACTATTTTTTACATATTTTACTTAAGTACACGAACATGTAAGAGAAGAAAATAACAAATTCAAATATGAAATTCTCAATTTTTTTACTATGTAAATTTTAATGGGTAAAAAATAGTAGTGAGGTTGACAGCTTCCGATTGGCCGATATGTTGATTTGGAGAAATTGCCATGAAATTTTGACTAGTTTTACGTTCCCGTACTTTATGGACAAAGTAGTTCTCTCCAATCGAAATGACTTGTTTTATCATTAGAATGAATTGGATCACAAAAATCTTTTTAAGTTTTGCACCTGCACATGCGTAATTTTTTGATCCCCAAAAATATATTTTGAAGGGAGTATCCGATTTGATCCTCCCACACAAAATGTCAAAATTTTCAAAGAAAATAATTTATTGCACAGAAAGAAAAGGATACTCCGATTTTGCTCCAACTTTACGAATCCTAATATTTGCGTCAGTGCTAGGTCAGGTGCGAAAATGAACAATATCGGTCCACTTCATCAAATACCTCCCCCACAAAGGGTCAAAATTTTGAATAATTTTAACTCTTATAAAATGTGATATAAGAGCCCGATTATCTTCAAATTTCACATATCCCAATATTTTTATTAACCCAAGGTCTGGTGTTGAGAGGGAATACATCGGTCCACTCCATCAAATACCTCACCCACAAAGGGTACAAATTTTGAATAATTACAAGTCTTATAAAATGTGATGTAAGATCCCGCTTGTCTTTAAATTTCACACATACCAATAATATTATTAACCCGAGCTCTGGTGTTAAGATGAAATATATCGGCCCACTCTTTCTGGTACCTCGCCCACAAAAGGTCGAAATTTGGAATATCGATTAAGCTCATAAATCGCAAAATTAACTTCCGATTGAATTTAGACTTGGCACATCTAAATATTTCTAGTAACACAGGATCTGTTATAAAAACGGTAGAGATCGGACCATTCCTTCTGGTACCTCTCCCACAAAGGGTCAAGGTTTTAAATAACCAAAACATTTATAAAATCCGAAATAATCATCAGGATCTCTTTATATTTCACACATCCCATTAATTCCATTAACAAAAGATCTGTTCTGAAGATGGTATATATCGATCCACTCCTTCTGGTACCTCCCCACAAAGGTTCAAAATTTTGAATATCTTAATGCATCGTTCAATATTTTTCAATATTTGGCAATTTATTGATGTGTGTTATTGAAATAAAAAAAAAAAAAAAACACTAAAATGGCCTTGATTTTATACGCATTATAGCCTACTTAATGTACTACCAAAAAAATACAGTTCAACACTTTGTATCCATTAATGTGAATGAGTAATCAGAAAGCTGTCAAATGTCTTCCTACAACCATGCGGAAGCTTAATGATACAGTCCAGTGTGTATGTATGTATTTTTGTGTGTTCCCGCACACAAACCTCTAAAATATTGACCTCGTATGTGTTTATTTTTGTTTTGTTAGTTACCACTGATTATTTTGATTTTGAGCCCAGATAAAAAATAGTACTCCAGTGCTATGGAGAGTCTGTTGAAAGATAACACCATCAAGTGCTTTCGAATGCATCGTCAATATGATTAAGTTTTGGCAAAACAAATGACGTGAAATTATAAAAGACGGTGCACCGTCAGACCAGGCAAGGATACGGGTGTTGTCTAAAATTCTGTTCAGTTCAGTCACGAGCCAAAAATGCATTTGAAATTTGTTTTGTTATCAGTATTAGTTTTGGGTCTGTTGGACTCCATAACGGCCAATACGCCAAGGACTTGCTATTCATGCAAGGGCATCAACTGCATGCGCACCTCGGTGGCACCAACCAAACAATGTTCGGATCCCTTGGATTTTTGTGTCACCGTCTTTGAGAAATGTAAGCCAAAACTAAATTTTCACAAAAGTTCTTTAAATAAAGGTTTCCCCTTAACCGTTCTATAGTCAATGTTGTGCAAAAGGGGTGTTCGTATGAAGTACCAGAACATCTGCGTCGTCGCTGTGATGCCAACACTGCCGAATGCCATAAATGTAATACGGATCGTTGTAACAATTTAGGTCAAGCTGAATTCAAATGCATTCAATGCGATTCCAGCCAGGTGACAATTTTTTAAGAAACCAAAAACCTAATGCCAAATTCATATTGACATTTTAATTTCTTCATCAGGACTCTAAATGTTCTTCAGCTCCAACTGATTTAGTGGCAACTCGCTGCGGATCACCAACTGCACCCAATTCCTATTGCTATGTCCAGTACGATGGCAATACGGTCAAGCGTGGTTGTTCCACAACTGTGGCTGATCAGCAATCCTGCTATGCCAATGCCAACTGTATGTTGTGCCTGGCTGGCGATATTAATGCCTGCAATGCTGCCGACTTTACACCTGGATCCAGGGCTTTCCGTTTGTAAATTTTTGGAGGGTTTGATTATCATTAAAAATGTTTAAATTCAAAAACAAATGTAAAATAATTGAAATCAATATTGTTTTGAATTAATTTAATGAACTTGAATAATGCCATTTCTCGAGTTATTTGATTTTTCTGGATGAAATCTTCATCGGAAAATTTGTAATATCATTCGTATTTTGTCATACTTTTTAATGGTAAAACTAGTAAAAAAGATAATTGCCAAATTCACACTGAGGGAAATGCTTTGCCCGGCACAATTGCAAAAGGTAGAACAAAGCTACCTCCCAAATTCCATATTTTTTCTTTTGGTGCCCCTATTCTGTCAAAACATAAACACAGTTGGTATATGTGCGTGTATTGTTTTGAATACAATAATTTGGAATTATTTCAAATTCAGTTGCAAAAAATGCTTATTTTCGAGTTTAACAAATTCTAAAATTTTGGGATAAAACTGTATTGTCTGACTATCTTAGATTCAATTTTGTGGAATAAAGCCAACATTCCATTCATGTTTTGTGGTATTTCCCCAAAAAAATGTAAAATAAACAAAACCAATCTTCGCTTATTTAAAAGTCTATTTGGCATTATAAAGCTTCGTTAAAAAGCTGAATTTCCCCAAGTTTATTTTTTTGAAGTTAAGCAACCATTCTGAATGAGCAAAGGCTATAACCTTAAATAATCGAATCTTCCGACATTAGTCACTCTGGTTTTGTACTCAGGATAAAAACACCCAAATTGAGTTTTCTTAAATATCTCAACCATACTATAAGAATTCTTTCAACACCTAGGCTTTTACTACAAGTTCTAAAGCCTTTGCTCTCAAGGCATCTAATTATACCCTTGCCGATACTAGTATCTATGAACTGATTCAAGAAGGCCAAAGCAGTTCTTGTCATCAAGACGTCTATTCTATCACCTTACGCCCTATCTGTTCTACGGATTCAACGTCGTCTGTTCTACTGATCCTTTTTATCTAATGAAGCGAAATGTCAAACCAGACAGGGAAGGCTGAGGCGATGATCAATTTAATAACCTACCGGAAGATTCAGAGAATAATTTCTTGGGAAAGACCACCATCTTTAAGATGCCAATATATCCAAAATAAAAACTAAGTAAAAACATTAAGTTCGGCCATTGTATTTCACTTTAAACTACTATGTATACAGTGTTCCGCCACTGCAGCTAGAACCCATTAAGAACCACAAATATCAATTTTTAGACAAATCGCTGAAAAACGGGATGACAAATTGTAATTGATATACCCTACTTTCCATGGTGGAGGCTATAACTAGACTAAGTCTATACCACGGATACAGTCAAACCTCTTCAAAAATACTAACCTCAAATATTTAAGCCTGGTCTGAATCTATATTTAGATCTAGCTAAAACCTCCTAAAACTATCGTGGAGTATGGCCTACATTTAACTTTGGGCACTTGCTAACGAAGTATCGACGGATCTAGCAAAAGAACCAAAAATAATGCTAGCAGGGCATCATCGACATATATCAGGAGTTGACCGCCAGAGGGCTATGACCCCATGTAACAAGAAAACATGTTATATAACATCCTCAAATACCTGCCAACAGGTTTGCTTATTAAGCCAAACGACTGGAATTTATATAAAATGTCATTATGCCCGACATAATCAAAACATAACCTGGCGATATCTAGATCCGCACATTCTGTCGAAGACTTTTCCAACTATGCTCTTCATGTCGTTGAGAAATGGGTTGGATCGCAGGATTTTCATTTCCTCGTCAAATTAAAGGATTTGTATAACTTTACAAACTGCGACAACCGAGAAATAGGCATATAATTATCGGGATCCGACCGGGATTGTTTCAAATTTCGTATTTTAAGTTCATAATGGGTGCTACAGCCTGTAACTGAAAATCCGGATAGCCCCCATATAACGCTATCTCCTCATATTCGGTATTATGATGATTTTAGCGTCATAATACACCGGAATTGTTCACAATTTCATATTTGAATATGGTAATGGGCTATGACGAAATTTGCATTAACAGGTCGACGTCTTCGTATGGGCCCAATATAACTGTAACTTCCTATTTCGGTAATTTTATGATTTTGGTAGCATTTTTCAACGGATTTTTTTTTTTTTTTGAAAATTGGCAAACTTTTTCTAAATGGTGATGGGTATTCAACGTTCAGCCCGGTCGAGCTTACTCCTTTTTTGCTTGTTAAATCTAGTTTTGAAAATGAATAAACCTTTTAACAATGTTCATTTCTATTACTATTACACACCCTCTCAATCAAAATCGTATTCAACTTGTATAATTTACAATTTTGCAAATAAACTACATAGAACAAATATAACAATAATAAACAAACTATTTGCAAAAATTTGATTAACCCCACTGGACGTGGATGGTATCATTCCTCCATTGCAGGCTCTGTCCGGGGTGGAAAGACACATTTCACATTGGTTGTCTTGTTGACATTTCAGTTGGTCCTCGAGGCGTGCCAAACAACCGCTTTCGCTGCGACCATTGGCAAGAGAACGATAATAACAATAGGTGTTGTCTCCTTCTGGCACTGGGCAGTGGTATTCCAGGCATTCTTTGTTCTAAAAAAAAAGAAAACAAAGAATTGTTTCTTTTTAGAGGAGGAGATATTCTGAAATGTGGGTCCTATCTCACGTTCTTTGCACTGCAATGTATACACGTGGCTGCTCCCCGATTATTGCAGAGATTTCCAAAGCACATGTGGCATTCTTTACTGATCGGCCCATCGGTACATCTCTTAAGATGTTCCTCGGGAATGGATGTGAAACAACCTCTCTCAATTACGCTCACTGCCAAATTATATTCCTTTTCTTATTTAAATTTCAAAAAAAAAAAAATATTTAATAAAATCATTCTTACATCCACTGAAGATGGTAACACATTCATCCCATTTGTTGGCACAGACGGTTGTCTCATTGACCTTCGATGGTCTTTGACAGTTAATACCCTTGCAGGTATAGCATTCAAGTCCAGCAGCTATGTTCGAGAAGCCTATTATTATCGCAAAAACACTTAGTAGCCATGTCAAAGGAGTTGTCACACGAATGCACTGCATTTTTCGATTTGAGTGTTGATGTAAGTTTGAAATATCCGACTCTAACAACTTATCTCGCTCGACACTGAAATAGAATGTCAATGAAAATTAAATTATTGCCGGAGATGCAAGTGCATCTATTCGAATGCAAACGTCGGCATGAGTCGCCTTTTGGAGTATACTACGTCTTGCGATGCATTAGATTTTCTTGCAACAGTTTTTACCGCCTTTGTTGGCTGTCTGTGAAACTCTGATCATTTTAGATCGTAAGTCAGCTGGTGAAGTTGATAGTTATTCTGGATGGAATTCCTTGTATTTAAGCTTGGCATTGTTTTTTGTTTTTTGTATGTCCGTTATTGAACGACGTTAATAGATATTTCAATTCAACTTAGAAGGAGCAAATTACCATTTTCCATATAACTTATACACATTACCATATGTTTTGTTTTTTTTTTTTTTTTTTGTCTTTTGGTTCAAATGTGATTTTATTGTATTTTCTAAAAAATAAAAGTACTTAAAATACTTTTTACCACAATTTTAATTTTATTCCACAATAAAAAAAAACAACACTTTTGATTAAATTATATTGTTTGGACGAAAATAGGACTCGATATTATCGAAAAGGTACATATGTACTTTACTCATGTATTTCACAACTGAAATACTGTCCATGTATCACATGACGTGTATAACTTTTATGTATGGGAAATTTGACACTGCATATGTAAAGCCCTTATCGTCTGATAGCAACTTTAAAAAAGGATCAACACTTGATACCGATAACTCTAATGAAATCTGAAATATGTCGCCGATATTCATCGAACTTATCAATACAGGGTGAGATAAAAAACTGCAACAAAGTTAAACGCCATAATATTTATTTTTTTTAATTTTATTGAATGAAAGCAAAAAAGTCGGAAATAGCATCAAATTTAAGAAAGAGTTTAGATTTGTTCGAATTATGGCCTTCAAACGGCCAATGAAACCGTCACACGCTGCCCGAATGTTGCTCTGCTGTATTTTGGCCCATTCCCGGCGAAACGCATCCCTGAGTTGATCGACACTTTGGTATTTTTTAGTGTCAACCTTGCTTTCCAAAATACTCCAGACACAATAGTCCAACGGATTGGTATCCGGAGATTTTAGTGGCCATTGTGCGCTGGAAATAAAGAGTGGAACTCATTTTGTAACCATTATTGGGTAGCTCTAAGTCCTGTTGGAATGTCCAAGGTCTGTGGCAAAAGGGTTTGCGTGCCCAAGGCTTTAATACACCCTTCAGAATATTTTCGCTTAATATTCGGCATTTATTCTGATGCCACGGTCGATTAATACGAGCAGAGAGCGACCATCGGCTGTTATGGTGGCCCACACCAATACCATGGCCGGCACTTGAGTCCTGGCGGCCTACCGAAGGTGCACATTTTCAGCTAACCTCTTTGGTCAGATTGCTTGTTTATAAACTGCTGGACAACGATTTTTTTCTTATCGGAGAAAATCAAATTCGGCAGTTCACAACTCTTTTGATTCTATTTCCTTTCTGTTTCAGTGGCTTTATCCCGAGCTCATTTTTCAATATGTTTTCTTCCGTCCACTTCCTTGACGTCGGGCTACGCCACCAGTATCACAGTAACGAGCGATGGCACGAGACACAAACGATTTATTCACATTTAAATGATGAAGTTCTCTAACGATAGCCACTTGTGGTTTTCCAGCTAAATATAAAGAAATTCACGCCAGAATTCCATCACCAATAACTTTTTTCTGGAAAATTCTCACCAAAATGCTTTTGTACGCTTATAAACAATATAATGAGCTGTCACTGGAATAATTTTAACAGCTGTCGAACGAGTGCCTTAAAAATTACAATAGTCTGAAGTTGGTTGCAGTTTTTCATTTCATATATCGGTTCACTTTCTCTTGTATCTCCTGACACATATCTTTGCATATCGCAATATTTGTATTCAACTGAGATTAGCTGCGACAATATAGGTTACTACTTCCGCCCTATTAACTATAACTCTCAATTGGGCCAATGATGACCAAAATTAAGTAAACTACGAAGGCATAGAACTGTCGGCAAACCCTACTGAGGCATTTGGACCTTTTTATTTTTTGCGTGGGAAACAAACTTAAAAGTTGAATATGAGACATAGGTACGTTAAAAACATCCTTCTTTCTTTGCTTTAAATCTACGTATATTTTTGTTTGGGTATTCAGATAACTTCATATCCTGACAGAATTTCAAATATATAAGCATAGCCCTTTTCACTTGTATGACCGGGTAATTTTAAATATAGTATTGTCTCTTCTAACGTTAGCCAATCTCCATCCCTAGTTCATTTAGAGTGTTTCATTGGATATTTTCCCCACTTAGTTCCGAATTTGTAAAGCGCCGCGAAATAACATCTCCAAATGGTAGCGCCTACGAACAAATTAATAAAATTACAATGTGAGACTGAGGCTGATAATAGAAGATTTTTTGCTGACGATAATAGACACAATGGAAGATTTATATGAAAAACGATGATGTGACACATCCTCCAACAACAATTTGTTGTTTATCGAGTTGGAAAAAATCAACAAAAATTATGGAAATTGAATACAATGGGATAGAACAACTACAACATTCTAACGAATCACAAACTGTAACTACACCTAAAGAAAAAATTCCAGAAGTTGAATTTGTTAAACGGCAGTGATTAAATTTAAAGTCTAACTACTAAAAGTACAATTAGGTATTGGTAACTACTTATGGAATAGTATTCTTAACCTTTTTTTAAGATGCATATGCAGATGCAGCAAGAGCAGTGGAATCAGCCTTTCTACTAAATTGAAAGAATGAGTTCTGATTGGCTCTTTCAGTTAGCTGTCTATAACAAAACGTAATTAACTTATTTTTTATACCCTACACATTGAAAAGGAGGGTACATTAACTTTGTCGTTCCGTTTGTAACATCCCTAAATATTCGTCATAGACCCCATATTGTATATATATTCTTAGTCAGCACAAAATTCTAAGTCGCTTTTACTATGTCCGTCTATCTTTGGAAATCAAGGTACAGCCCACATTGTTTGACGTAGAGCTTCAAAACTTGGCAGAACAATCTGTATTATGTCTAGGTTGGTTGGTATTGGAAATAAGATATATCAGTCAACATTTTAGTATGGCCGCCATATATCGGTACCTCTCGATATTCAGTATTTTAATCATTTTCGCCACATTTTTTCACGGATTTGTCTAAAATTGGTATTTTTAGGACAGGTTCTCCGGTGGTTCGATATTGTATGTATAGGTCCACGTTTTTGTATAGTTCCCATATAACGGTGCTCCCGATATTCGGTATTTTTCCACGGACTTATCTAAAAATTGGTATTTGTAGTTCGTAATAGGTTCTAGCCAGCAGGTTTTCCTATAGCGCACATATAATGATATCCACCGATATTCGTTATTTTGATAATCCTAGTCACATTTACCCACGAAATTGTTTCAAATTTGATATTTAAGAAGATTTAGTAGATGACAATCTTTGAAGTATAAAATTGTCTATAGAGGTTCTCGTTTTGGTAAGGCCTTTAAATTTCGTACATCTCAGTATTTTCACTCCTTCTGGTACCTGATAAAACGCGATATAAGCATCAAATTCCTTTCAAATAATAAATTAAAATACTACGATGTGTCAAGTTTGAAATGAACTACTACATCCGGTACTTCCCGCTAATGGGTCATAGAACGCAAAATAAACATCCGATTCTCTTCAAATTTCACACACACGTGATCTGGTGTGAAGATGGGATATATTTACGCGACGTTATTCACCGAAAATGTTTCAAATTTGGTATTTGAAGTTCGTAATGGATACAACAGCCTATGACAGAAAATTGTCTGTGCGGGTCCCCGTCTTCGTATAGCCCCTATATTACGGTACCTCCCGATATTCGGTATTTTGATTATTTTAGCGACATTATTTACCGGAATTGTTTCAAATTTGACATTTGAAGTTCGTAATGGATACTACAGCCTATAACAGAAAATAGCCCCCATATAACGGTACCCTCGATATTCGGTATTTTGATGATTTGAGCGACATTATTCCCCGATTTTTTTAAGTTTCGCATTTGTATATTCTAATGGCTTATGAGAAAACTTACATATGCAGGTCCACGTCGTCGTATTGACCCTAATATACGGCTACATTCGGTATTTTTAAGATTTTAACAGAATTTTAACGGATTTTATTTTTTTGAAAATTGTCAAATTCGTTCCAAAAGGTGGAGGGTATTCAAAGATCGGCCCGGCCGAACTTACAGCTTTTTTACTTGTTCAATTTTATTTTTTTTCATAAAATTCAAACTCATTTGGGTTGCCGCAAACAGCACAACTCCTAAGGAATTTAAATAAACCAGTAAAGAAAGTCCTAAAGTCGGGCGGGACCGACTTTATCTTACCCTACACCACTTTCCTAATTTAGTAGAGCTCCACATAACAATTAAAAGTTTTTCTGGGAGAATTCAATCATAAACGCTATGATTATAATTATAATTTAAAGTTCAAAGGACTAAATATGCCGAAGCATTTGTATCTTTTAATTTTGGACTTGTATTGCACATTTGATATATATGGGAGCTATATCCAAATTTGAAGCGATCTTGATAAAATTCGGCAATTTTTTTTTGAGCTGTATTTCATATATTTCCCTAAATATTGTTGGCACGGAGTGCATATTACGGCTGCGGTTAACAAATATAACAAATCGGATGAACAATATATATAGGAGCTATATCTGAACCGATCTTCACCAAATTTGACATACTAGCTTCTAGACTCAATTCGGTCGTAAGTACCAAGTTTCATCCCATCGATAAAATTTAGCAAAGGTATTTCTGAGCTGTATTTGATATAGTTTTTTCCAAATATTGTTGTTACAGAGTGCATATTACGGCTGCGGAGGACTAAAATAACAAATGGGATGAACAATATATATTGGAGCTATAGCTACATCTGAACCGATTTCGATCAAATTTGGCATACTTATTTTCGGGCCTAATTTGGTTCTATGTGCAAAATTTGGTTGTATGTGCATGTCTAAATTTTGACCGATTATCTCCAATTTCAAAATTTCATTCGGATCGGGTAATAAATGCGAACTGTACTTTGTTCACAGAAATACATGGACAGACGGACGGACGGACATGCATAAATCGACTCAGCATGTGATTCTATTCAGATCATCAAAAGAAACTATGGGTCTATCTCGTTTCGTTTTGTCTGTTACAAACAAATGCACAAAGACATAATACCCTGACCACCTTGTGATGTAGGGTATAAAAATTAACAAAATTATGGTTATGAAAAACACTGGCATATCAAAGGTTTTCGGAAATGAACGAGAACTATCAAAACTTTTATATAAACTCAAATTAACACGAATACATTCGAATACGAACGATTCGGGCTCTAAGTCGAAACGTATTATTTGCATCAAACTAAGGTCAGTTGCGAAAATCAAAAATATCGTTCTCTGCCTTTACTAAAAAAAATTGTCATAAATGATTTTTCAATGATTTCCCTGCTATATGAATCTTGGACTGCAGATGCGCACGCCACTTCTAAATACGCAGAGCTATTTAGTGTATCGACCCGCCTGACTTTCGTCGTTTCCCCATTTCTTTTTCGCATACCTTGTTTCCATTGAAAATTAACTTTGAAAACATTTTTAAATTTTTGTAGCATGGCAAAACATTGCAGTTAATTTTGCATCGTATTTGCAACACCCTTTATCCCAAGATTGCTTCGCTAATTTCATGCTGCTGATTATGACACAGACTCATTGTTTTCACATTCATTATTTTGGTTACGGCTTTCCTCTTCCGCCATCCGAAGTTCTAGCGTCGGAGTGTATGTGGCCGTTGCAAAACTGTTGTTGGTGGTTTTAAAACCTTACCACATGTCGCCCTCTCTTCTGCAAAAAGCAAGAATCAGCACCAAGATGATGGCAGATTAGGTGGTGTCTTGGTGCAGGGCAGTAAACACTGAGTGCAAGCTCATTACCGATTATCTGCCTGCCTGAAAATGGGGTTTTTGGCATTCTAGACGTTACATTTTGCCGTAAATGGAGGTCGACGACAACATAACATTATTTTCATAGACTTGAAGATTTTTAGTCGCTCGTTGAAGTTCATTAAAACTTAAGCTGGCATGCTAACAAAATTAAAAATTTTCAAACTTAAGTAGTATAATTAGATATGAGCATGTCAGGGGAATGTTTACATGGTATCGCCTGTTACAATGCGTTTGAAAGAGCCATCAGTGAGAAGAGTTTTAGTAACGAGTACTCCCTTTTTATTACTTGCAGGGTGGCTATCGCCTACAACTATTGGATAACTTTGAGAGGCCAATGATTGAGCTGACTCCGCAAGGTGATAGTAGTGGTTTTCTAAAACACGATTCCACGTAAGTACCCCTCCGACAATGGCCAATAGAGAAGATTTCCTTTATTATTACAATTTTGTTTTAGTGCCCAAAGCCATGAAGTGTCACTGCCCGCTGATATGGAGTGTCGCAACTGTTCCATACGTCTGCTACGACAAGCTGTGGAATGGTCAACGGACTATCTCTTCTGGTCCTGTGCCGATATTGATATTCTTACTCGTAAAGATTTTAGGGAAACTTGCTCAGGTAATGGCAAATATTTCCCCTCTCGCTGCAAATGCGAAAAGGGTTTCTATGGACCCCAGTGCCAATACAAGGACGAGTGTACCAGCAATGCCGATTGTGGCATCCAAGGGAAATGTATTGACATTCAGGGAACAACTTTGCCACGAAAGCAATGTTTCTGTAATTTCGGTTGGTTCGGACCCGGCTGTAACAAGAGATCGCCCTACAAAACCACGGAAATGGACCTGTCTGCCTACTCGATGAAACAACTGTCGCCTGACTATCAGATGTACTGGCGTCTGATGGAAGAGCAAAAAGAAATTGAAATTGTACTGAAAGTGAACAGTACAACATGGGTTGGTGTTGGCTGGAGACCACGATCTTCGACAAAGGAATGTAAGAATTTCCCCCTGATTAGAGATATTGGGGATTTGACCACAACCATTGAAAGTTCCGGTTCCGGTTCAGCTTCTGCAGAACCTGAACCAAAATCTGAACCCGAACCATCATCAGAGCCCGAACCCAAGTCGGAACCCGAACCATCCTCTGAGCCGGAACCAAAATCAGAACCAGAGCCCGCCTCCGAACCTGAACCCAAGTCAGAACCCGAGCCTTCTTCGGAGCCCGAACCCAAATCAGAGCCAGAACCATCTTCGGAACCTGAACCAAAGTCAGAACCAGAATCCCAATCTGACCCAGAGCCTACTTCAGAACCCGAGCCTCAATCTGAACCGGAACCTTCGTCCGCTACGAAATCTAAACGTGAAACTCATTTTGAAGATGTTGCAAGACGCCGTAGACGCGATGTACCAGGTAAGTGCAATCAGTTTTGTTTTCTTTTTCCCGTATCAATTTTCCTCAATACAATACAGTGCTTAGAATACATTACATTGCACAGTATTGCACCGCTGCACCTTTGCTTACAATTTGCACATACTCTGAAAACGCTTTCTCTCTCTCCCTCTTAATAATTCTGAACAAATATTGAACAGATACGCAATATGAGCCACAGTCACATCCCGAACCCACATCTGAACCTGAACCAAAATCCGAACCGGAACCCACCTCGGAACCTGAACCAAAATCGGAACCGGAACCAGAACCATCCTCTGAACCGGAACCAAAATCGGAACCGGAGCCAACTTCAGAACCAGAACCTCAATCGGAACCCGAGCCATCATCCGAACCAGAACCAAAATCAGAGCCGGAACCATCATCGGAGCCTGAACCCAAATCTGAGCCGGAACCATCGTCGGAGCCTGAACCCAAATCTGAGCCGGAACCATCATCTGAACCCGAGCCCAAATCAGAGCCCGAACCTTCATCTGAGCCAGAGCCAAAGTCAGAACCGGAACCCTCATCTGAACCAGAGCCAAAGTCAGAACCAGAACCAACATCTGAACCCGAGCCCAGATCAAATGGCAGACCAAAACCGAAGCCATTCTCCAAACCCGAACAGGAACCCTCTGCTGAGCCCGAACCCAAGTCTGCACCTATTAAACAAAATGTTGCACCACAAAAGAAAAACCCAGGTATATTTTTATCCATCGAACACTAACACACACATAACACATTGCTTCGCTCGTGAAAACTCCTACAAATTCTCGGAGTTGTCACACATCCACGAACTAACCCCCAACCAAACGCTGTGACACCCTCGCAAAATACCAATATTTTCACTTGGTATTAAAAGATTGTTGTTATTCTTCTTCCTTTTCCAGATGCCAAGTACAAACTGAATCCCTACACACCTCGTCACGATTTCAATCCCATGGACTGCACCGATGTGATCATCGGCACTGCCCGAGGCATGGCCAGTCGTGTGGGCGACTACTACAGCAGAGACAGATCGACTCCAAAACTTGATGAAGTGTTTGGCGGCAAACAGGATCTGACTCTGGCCACAGGCTACGAAAAGGATGGTGTCACAACGATTATATTCCGCAAGAAACTTACAGCCAGTGAGCCCACAGATCACTCCTTGACCGATACTTTGACCCATGTCATTTGGGCCAAGGGTCAGGAATTGAACAACTATGTTCACATACCAGCCTCTGGCATGGAAACCGATATGGCCGCCATGAAAGAGTTCTATTATCCGGATGAATTGAAATACCATGGCCACAACATGCAGCGGGGTGTTGCCCTAATCAATTTCTTCGGTAAGTTTCGCTGAAACTATTTAAATTGCCCGAAGCTGTAATTAACGAAAAAATTTTATTTTAGAAAAAGAAAAACCTAAAACAGTCGACGGTGTGCCCGATGAATCGGCCAATGTTTTGGACAACGATTGCTTTGGCCACTGGAAATATCCTGCAAGTTGTTCACCTCAGAACCACACGTGCGAATACTATGTTTCGTGGGAGACGATTGGTCGGGGTGACGAAATGCGTTGGCACATTGAAACTTCAAACACCCAGACCTGGACTGGTATTGGATTCAGTAACGATGAGAAGATGTCTCAAACGGATTCCATAATTGGTTGGGTTGATCGTAATGGACGCCCCTTCCTCATGGACACCTGGATCAATGGTTATTCTTCTCCCAAGCTGGACGATCGTCAGGATCTGTATAATGCCGAGGGTCGCATAGAGAAGGGTGTTACCATTTTGGAATTTACCCGCAAAAGAATTAGCAATGATGCTCAGGTAAGGGGGTTGGGGGGATGAAGCTACCAATTATTGGAAAATTTAACATTCTCAGTATATCTTAGCATAATTAATGAGAGTAGTGACTGATTTACGCACGCCCAGACAAAACGACTATGACTACAATCGTGGAATTTGGCATAAGGATCGCTTTTGGTGCAATGGAGTACAATTTTGAAAATTCGAGCCAGAAGGATACAAAAAATAGCCTTTTGTTCAAAGCCATATGCCAATGTTATTGAGCAATCGGTTAAAGCTAGAAATCCTGATTTTTGTATGTGGGTTTGCCAATTTTAAAATATTGAGGAATTTGGTGCGAGGGTATAGTTGGGATTGTGAAGATTGGGACATGAAATGAACGAAAAACAATAAAAAGTACTAAATATCTTTGAGTTGGTATTGAGTGATAGCAATTTGAAATTTCGTACCTAGGTTTGTCTGTGATGAATATAATTGTGTGGAAAAAGTTCTTAAATGTACTAAATATGCATATGAGGAGACCGACTATACCTGGAATGTTAGAATTTGATATGAATGTCACAAACCACACAGGCAAAATTTTACCAAGGATTTTACTTCCTTAAAAGCTGAACTACAGACAATTTGGGCCCAAAATATGGCTAAAACATTTAGAATATCTTTGATAGGTCAATGCTGTTATATGGGGGTTCACAGAATGTGCACCCATCTTCGAACTTAACCTATCAATGGATTTGTTCGAAAGATATTTAGATTACAACAGACAGACGGGCACCGTCAGATCAGAAGCCATTTTTATACCGTCAGCCTTATGACTACATAGGGTATATATCATTTGTCGAAACAACGGTTTTAGACTAGGTCTCTTTGGACCAAATACGTTTCAGGTCATTTGAAGTCGATCTAAGGTTGTTCGTCTGTCCAGACTCTCGAAGGGAGTATCCGATTTGATTCAAACTTGGTACATCGTAATATTATTGTCAAATTTGAATCTAGTTCGGAGATGGGTAATATCGGAGCACTCCTTCTGATACCTCCCCCACAAAAAGTCAACATTTGCACAGAATTTGCAAATCCCAACATTTGTATCAGTGCTATGCCAGGTGCGAAAATGGACAACATCGTTCCACTTCATAAAATACCTCCTCCAAAATGGGTCAAAGTTATAAATTATTGCAGCTCTCATAAAACTCGAAATTAGCATCCGATTCTCTTCTAATTTCAAATATCGGTTCACTCCTTCTGGTACTATCCCACAATTGAGTCAACATTTTCAATAACCGTGAAGGTCATAAAAGAAATGAGCATCCGATCATTTTCAAACTCTGCACATCACAATATTTCTATCGTCACAAGATCAGGTGTGAAGTTGTAATATATCAGACCACTCCATCTGGTACCCCCGCCCACAGCGGGTCCAAATTTTGAATTATTATATCTCTCATAAAAGAGAAATAAACATCAGTTTCTCTTCAAATTTCACACAACACAAAGTCTGGCGTGAAGATGACAGATATCGGCCTACCCTTCTGGTATCTCCCCCGCAAAGGGTCAAAATTTAACCTGCGAAACAAGTCAGCGATTCTCTTCAAACTTTGTATATCTAAATAATTCTATCAACCAGAGATCTGATGTAAACATAGAATATATCGAGCCACTCCTTAACGTACCTCCCCCACAAAAGATTGATTTATAATTGTTCCCACAAAATTGGTAATAGATGTCTCACTTTTTGTGAATTATGCAAATCCCAATATTTTAATCAGAAACCTCAATCATATTTCAAAATTTTTCAAAAATGATCACTTATCTCATAAAAACTTCAAATCGGGCACGGTCAGTCAGTTTGTAAAATTTAAATAAATGATACACTATTTCAATACGTTCCGATTAATCAAAATAAAATGTCAATACAGAGTTGAAAAAATCGTGTTTCCTTTAATTTCCAGGATTTGTCCTTTACCGATGATCATTGTCTCTATTTGTTCTTCCCCGTTTTGGGTGGTGCTTTCAATGCTGTGAACAAAAAAATAAGGAAACATGAAAATATTCCAGTTGTTTCACCGACTCGTGTTTGCATCAAATCTTGCGGAAAAGGTAAATAAATATCAGTGACATTAGTAAATGTCAAGTTATTTAAAATTAATTGTCTTATTTTTGTTATTTGAAACAGAATTATTAGATGCCGGTAGTGCCCCAACTACACCAGAGCCCAATCGTTTAGTTTATGCTGTGGGCGTTAAATTAATGAACCTGGCTGAATCCTTTGAAGCACCAGCCCCTGGTTCGGTAGAATTCAAAAATTTGGCTGCCACCATTTCAGATTCATTCAATGGTGTTCTGAACAACATACCCGGTTACTATAAAACCGATATTTTAGGTTTTGAAAAGTAAGTAGGACTCTTTCGAAAGAGATTTCATTTTTTAAAACCCATTTGGGTTTTCAGAGATGGCGCTACTTCCATGATTGCCAAGTTACAGGCCATGTTCGATAAGGATGACTATGAGAAGGGTTATGCTGTCACAACCAATAATATTCCCCTGGAAGAGTCCATGAAGAATGGCGAAGTAATCGAAATGGCCTTAAGAGAAACGATTGCCTCCGGCAAAGTTGGCTCATTAACAGTTGATCCACAATTTTTGGATTTCAAAGCTCTGGAATGTAAGTTATTTTTTCATTGATTTATAATTGTAAAAATTCTTATAAAGTGTGTGTGTTTTGAAAATGTTGGAGTTTAACCATTATGTGATCGCTTTTCAGACAAATCTATATCCGATTCCGATGACGTGAAATTATCATTCTTCGAGTTGTCTGAAGTTCGTCTGTATATTGTATTGGGTCTTATTGCTGCTTTAGTTTTTATAGCACTGATTCAGGCCTCTTGCACCATATACAAGACATCTCGAAAGAATAAATCGAATAAGGTAAGTGGTGGCTAGGCGTGTCATAGGCCATTTGTATATACCAACATAAATTGAAAATTATTATTTAATAATTAGCGTAATGAGTTTGGAGATTATAAACATATTTGAAAGTTATGTTATATTATGTTTACATTAGAGCTTCTTTCCGTGATAACCTCCTTTATGAGGGTTTACCATGGTAGAAGAATACAGGTTGCTTTGCTTATGAACACTGATATGTCAAAAATGTTAATGTTTTTTTTTTAATGCGTAGATTTTTATATGTTTTCCTATACGACGCCATTCAGAGGTTGTTATAAAATGCTGTTTTTATTATATTTTTATATTTTATATTATATTATAAATTTTAATAAAATTTCATTCAAAAATTTTAATTCCAAAATCGGCTACCTGAATTCTTCTACCATGATTTGAAAGTATGTTTACATTAGAGCTTCTTTCCGGGTTATACTTCTTTATGAGGGTTTTATGATAGAAGAATGCAGGTAGATGCGTCATAGCTTGGGAACATTGATATGTCAAAAGTTTTCTTTTACGATGCCATTCGGAGGTTCTAATGATATGCATTTTTCAATATTGCATTTTAACGAATTTACATAATTCAAATTAAAAATTTTCAATTTCAAAATTGGTTTGACAGTTCATTGTCCCAGCAGCTGTGTCTATGCTCGATTCTTCTACCATGGGGTTTACTAAATCCGATAAACTATAAACTTACAGTACGTTTATATATATGAGGATTAACCCACTGGATTTGGATTTAAATTGTCATATCCATTACTTTTACTTCAAATAAATCCTCTCAAAGTAGGTTAACCCTACGACAAGTTCTAACGTAAACATGGCATTACTGTTAATTCATGCCATTAATGCCATGTTCAAAATTGCGTCCGAACCACGATGTTCGAAGTTAAAATTACGTACACAAGTTAATTTTTTGATTTTTATGAAAATTTTAATGAAAATGCGTTAAGTACGCATCTGAATTTATTTAATTAAGTACTATAATAGCGCGTTTGTACCAAAAATCATTATCCGGGTTAACCATCATAAGTGTCCAATCACGAGTTTATAGTGATTGGCCAATTATCAGGTTTATCCCGGATAAAAAAAATTGTATATAAACGTAGTTAAAGATTCAAATCCCTATCCTGGTTAACCTTGATAATTGGCAAACTGACTATTGAAAACAAACGCCAAATCTATTGTGATTGACCATTATAAAAGAATACAGGTAGATGCATCGACACTTGGGAACATTAATATGTCAAAAAATTGAAATGTTCGTTCAAATATAAGTTTCTTATACGATGTAATTTGGAGATTGTTATATTTCTCGTGTTTCAACAATTTTTACAAATTAAAATAATTTTTTATTTAACATTTTCAATTCCAATATTGGCTTGACAGTTCCTAGTCTGTATCGATGCGTCTACCTATATTATTTTACCATGTGATTGACCAAGTACCACAGAGAGAAATTTTACGTTAATGCGCCCAGCCCGCCGAATCGCTTATTTATTGTTTTTACCAAGTTAAAACAGTTTTTCAAATATGTTTTTTAATCTCCTATGTAGCATCATCACATACAATACAATTTCATAATGTAATTATAAATACATACATATTATATTATACTATTATTATTTGTACAAACCATTAGTAAATACATTGATAATGACAAAAACATATTCAAATGCTGTTTTCAAAGCTCATTTATGTAATACCCGATGAATGGCGGATATATCAACAGAGGCAACATCAACGCTACTACCAGCCTTCTAGTGATCTATAGATTCCAACAATTCCCTCCAACCACCCATTCAGACATCAATCATATTCTCTCTCTAGATATCACCATAGCCTCCTCCTACCACAACAAGTCCTGCAATCAACATTTGTGAGATCAATCAAATCCAATCAATCAAACAAACAGTGAACCAAACATCACTAACAGCCAATCGCAATCTTGACTATTTACCATTGATTTGTATTTCTTGCCAAATACAATGAGTCCTTTCTCGATCCTCCAGCACACATGTGTATGTTAACTTTCGTAGTAAATGTTCGACATGTCAGTGCATTGGTGTGTATATCAGTGTGTGTGTGTGATAGATACAACTTCTTACTACTACTACTGCTATTCAATATCGGTAATTAAAACAAACTCAAACCTATCAACCTTGTTATCCCTGTATTATGTTTTCCATGTGACTACTATCGTTTTAATGCACACCATTTCAATTCTTGTTCTAATCTTATGTATCCTCTCTAAAATACGAACACCGACACTTTTTACATACTAACAACCTAAATTATGATTGAAAGCTAGACACTGGATTTTTATTGTCATTTGCTTGGGGTTTTGAAATTACGCGTTTTGCCAAGATACTTTATTAATTTAATGTATAATTAATGAAATCTGACGGTCTTGTTCCGTATAAACAATCTATAATATTCCAAAAGTACACATTCGTTCGGTGTCTTCATTCAATCTGTACTTTAGGTTATTAATATTATTTGTTTAATGTATCCACTTCTATCCTTTTATGTATCCTCTGTACCATTCATTGGCCCTACTCATCTCGATCTGTCCTTATACCTAAATATTTTAGTTTTCTTTAATTTCCGAAGCAGTCAGCATTTGTTTTATGCTATTTTGTTTTGTATTTTTATCTTGACTAAATATTGAACTCTAAATGTTTCTAACCAAACGCATTTAGAATTTTTACTAACAAATAATAGTGTTTCTCAATAAACTTGAATAATTCTTCTTTTAAACTTAATTTATAATTTTGATAATACAATCTCCATCTCGAAACACGAAGGATATAAATATATTAAATTTATATTACAAATACGTAAACGTAAACCTTTAAATTTTCGTTAGAATTTGCATAGAGAACTATAGGTATCGATATTGGAATCAAAAATATGAATAAGGGCAAAATATACTGCAGTCCGGTTGAATGTTGTTATTGAGCTTGTAAAGGCGGAAATATAAAAAACGCTTTTTTGACTGGTTTAAGTCATCGGCAGGCTTCTTCGAAAAAGAACAAAAAAGCATAGGGTCAAAATTGAACTAAGTCAACCTAACACACCTTTGTTCCTCTACGAAGAAGCCAGACAATGGCTTAAGGTAGGAATACATACGACGCTTTTTTTACTGACTTAAGTCAGCGGCTGGCTTCTTCGTAGAGGAACAAAGCAAAGATATAGAAGTATAAAGATAGGACAAGACAGAGTCAAAATATGGCAACCCTGTGAAAATACCTCTGTTGTTATGATATCATAAAAACATATTTACCAATGTTAACTGACTTAAACCGCTAAGACAATATGCAATATTTTGGGAAGGCCTATGGAATTGAATTTTGAAGCAACATTTTTGGATTTTTCAAGTTCTTATTTGTCATTCGTTTCTGTAATTGTGGTTTTTATATTAACATGCCTCTGACATGAGCTGTCACTCTATGTATTGTAGACACAAACCATTTGCTCAAAATACATTTTGCCTAGTCTTTACCATTTTAGGTCTTTGAACAAAGTAGTTTTAGGTTGACTTAGTTCGATTTTGGCCCTATGCTCTAAGCAACCAAAAATGCGTTTTAAATTTTAAGCACCTTAAGAATCAAGAGCTACCATTGTTGAAGTACATTATATGGAGTACAAAAATTCAATTTAGTTGAAAATTGTAACTGAAAACTTCCAAAAACGGAAAAACAGAAGATAGCTTTATGTGAAGCTCATACCAAAAGGTGGACTTATAGTGCACATTCTCAGCAGGAAGGGTAAAGATGAGAATACATAAAACGCTTTTTTGACTGGCCTAAGTCAACGGCTGGCTTCTTCGAAAAAACAAAGGAGCGTAATGCCAAAATCGAACTAAGTCAACTTAAAACTCCTTTTTTCGTCTACGAAGAAGCCAGTCAAAAAAGCGTTTTATATATTCTCATCTTTATAAATTACTTTATTACTTGAATTGCAGCCAAATTGATTAGAAAATTCCATACTGAAACATAAAATTGAAAATCGGCCTATCTAGTTCATTGTCAATAACATAATTGTGATTTGAAATTCAAAGAATGACAAAACATCAGTTGTGCAAAAACTGATAAGTTTATTCTCAAATTGTCATATTTTGACCGACCTTATGTAGGCTATTGTTGCATGTAACCTATTCCAAAATTGGACTTTAAATTTTTAGAGATTTGAATAATTTCTCATTTAAAAATTTCAATTTAAAAATTGGGTTGACAGTTCATTGTCCCACCAGCTTTGCGATGCGACTACCTGTATTATTCTACCATAGTTATGAAGTTTGTTTTGGTTGCAGCGAATTCAAATGAAATTGACAGATGGTTTGGTAATCAGCTGAGCTGGAAGGGGACCTTATACTTTGATCATGAACAACACTGTTGATTAAATTATATTTTTCGAGGAAAATAAGGCTCGCTGTGATCGAAAAAGTTCCTATGTACTATACTAATGTATTTCCCAATTGAAATGTCGTCCATGTATCACACGATGTGTACAACTTCTACATATGGAAAATTTGACACTACATATGTGAATGAATGATCAGTTCGAAAAGTAAACAAACAGGAACAACAGTATGCAATTTTGACATTTCACTGTTAAAAGTACCTACCATTTGCGCTATCAATCTTCCAACCTTGCCTTTGTCATTAAACCACACATTTTACCTCTCCATTTTTTCTTTGATCCACTCTTGCTATTATGTTCTTTTTCAATTTGTTACGATTTACTGTCGTTGTAAAATTATAGGCAGTAAGGAAACCGAACAACCCAGTATGTATGTGGTAGCAAAATACAACCCTGATTCAAGATAATTTGTCTTGTGTAAACGCCAGGTTATACAATTACACTTGTTAAACATAAACTGGGCTCCCTCGATTTTTACAACAGAACTATTCTGGTTTCCGTCGGCTATAAAGTTGTGCTAAACAATGCCAAACTCGCTTATAGAAATCTTAGTTTCTAGAACGGCCAAAAACAGTAAACATTTGTAATCATACGAAGTGTGCATCGCAAAACTAAACTTGTAAACTTGCAAAAATATCTATTTCTTGTAAGTACAGGAAATTTTAGATCAAAGATAATAAAATGTTGCGTAAATAACTCAAATCAAACGATTCAGCCTTGAAACTGTAAATAACATATGAAATTTGTTGAAACATATAGCCCAGGATAACACCTAACCTAACACAAGACGGGTCACGTCCATTCAACCTGGGCTGTTGTGTTTCGAGCTTACTTTTGTATCAACTTGCTTTCATCATTTCCATCTACTAATCTCTTCTAATCACTATCTTCACTTTAAATTCACCATCATATCACAAGCACTTTCATTTCGTTCGTTGGATGTGACAAAATAGCATAAACTCAATAAATGACTGAAGCCTGTGATGATATTCTAATCATGTAAATGCAAAAAACAAACAGTGTTGATATCCGATGTACAAATATATCTGCCCTAATCGAACATTGCCTATGAATGATCTAAGAAATTGCTATTGTTGTTTTTTTTTAATTAAGAAAATAAATTGTATGAAAATGCTGACTGGTTGAGGATTTTTGAAAAACGTTAACACATTCTAGAATGATATTTACTCATTTATACGATTTGCTTGCAGGAAAATCTCATCCAGAATTCAGCATGGAAAGAATACTCGTCGAACACTAACTACGCCTTCGATCCTTATGGCGAAACTGAAGAAAAGAACGGTACTTCGCACAAAGACAAATCTTCACGTAATCGTCCCTCTAGCAGTCAGCAGACAACACTACAAATGTCCCATTCGCCAACCAACAAATCGCAAATGTACAACGGCAACGCTGGCAGCAACGGCAATAATACCCAAGAGTACCGCAGTAATGGTCGTTCGCATCGCAGTGATCGCGAAAGGAATGGCCACGCCCACAGCAATGACCATCAAACTCCATCGGCTTCATATACACGTGGTGGTGGCAGTTCGTACACCGACCGGGCTTATTCGCTGCCACGACAACAACATATGCAGCAACAAGCAAACATGCAACCCTCAGGGTATTACACGCAGGATCGACGTGATCGCAGTGCCCATAGAAATGGTGCTCACTATCGTGATCGATCACGCGAGGATCCACGTTTGGTGTCAAATGGTGGTGCCGATACGCCAGACTTCTATTTCATGCCATCGCAGCGTAAGTATTCGGGTGAAGTAGTACGTGTCTATGTCGATTATAATAAGGATCCAAAGCACTAAATATTTTTGTTGTAACAGAAGTGGTGCGTTAGGGTAATTAAACATTGTTAAACAATCAAAAAATGAAAAATTAGTCACTTATTATTTTTTTATTCAACAACGAAGCCATGGTAGAAGAATACAGGTAATCGCATCGACACATCTGCTGGGACAATAAACTGTCAAAACAATTTTGGAATGGAAAATTTTAAATGAAAAATAATTTAAATTCGTTAAAATTGTTAAAAAATGTATATCATAACATCCTCCGATTGTCGTCGTATAAGACGACATTTAAAATTTTTGACATATCAATGTTCCCAAGCGTTGATGCATCTAGCTGTATTATTTTACCATGAACGAAGCCCTGTCTAATAGCACGTTGCATACAAAATCTGTTCACGGGTTAACCGGGGTAATTGACGAATCGCAATAAATGTAACGCATATCATATTTTGTGTGATTTGTCAATTATCAGGGTAAAAAGTACGTTTACATACAAAATTTCTATCCGGATTAATTCCGATAAATGATCAATCACAATAAATTTAAGGTATGTAAAATATAGCCAGATTTATTGTAATTGTTTAATTATCAACGTACTTTAAATCCACCCGGGTTAACCTTGATAATTGACCAATCACAATAAAAGTACCATACTTTCTCCATCGTCAAATTTATTGTGATCGGACAATTATCAGGTTTATACAAACCTCAGGGTACATACAAACCTTTACCCTTGTTAACCGTGATTATCGATCAAAAATAATAAATTTAATATAAGTTTTCCATTGACAAATTTATTTAAATCAATCACGTTCTAATGCTTAAAGCAGATCAAGATTTGTTTGTAAACCCACTTTTTGATAGGCGATTTAAACATAAAATAAACACCCCTTATTCATGACACATTCATAATCAATTCCAAATAATTTATAACAATTTCAATAATTATAAGTAATCAAAAACAAAATACTGACAAATTTCCTTAAACACACAATATTAATAATAGTTGAAATCTATAACCTCTTAACTCTAAAATAAATCTGTCAATTACATCGAGAATGCGTTAAATGAAATTCGCTGGTTGTAAGATTTGACACATGCGTAGTGGAATCGACATTTTAAATCCACTGGATTTATTATATGTAAGCGTGCTACATTTTTATCCAAATGTGGTTTTTGTCTTCACATCTTAAAGAATTTTTTAATGATTTAGTGAGCAATGGTAATGTTTCAAAATAAAAAAACATCGTCGACTGCAGTGTCCATGTGCCTTCAAAAATGATTTCATCTTCAAAAAATAACTAATTTTGCAGTCTTCATTCATACCCATGGTAGAATTAAAAAGGTAAAGCCATGCAATCATATGTTTACAATTTTTTTTAATTATTAATTTGACAAAATTTCATTGCCAAAATGCATATTTCTAAATCCATTGTACATACACACATCAGAGATGGGAACCTGTTTTTTATACAGTGAAATTTGTCAAGGTAAATTACAGAAAATGCAGAGATGGGAATGCTATTTGAAATGAATTTACCTTCTTAATTTTGCCATGATCATACCGTTCAGAAATGTCAGTTGGGCGCAAGTTTTTTTCACATATTGATAAGCAAAACAAGTACCAAGATGACAACCGAATCAATGTTGTAGAATATGTTTACATTACCTAATATTCATCATGATAATCGAAAAATCAAGATTAAAAACTTCCATTCCATTGCCTATAAGTACGTTTAGGCTTATTAAATTGAGTGGAATTTAACTGTCAATTTCCTTGAATATACGTCACAAAAAAAAATCCACTGTATTTACGAATACGATTTACAAGATGTATGCGCCATGGTAAAAGAATACAGGTAGTCGCATCGACACATATGCTGGGACAATGAACTGTCAAACCGCTTTTGAAATGGAAAATGTTGAATAAAAATTTATTAAAATTTGTAAAAATTGTTGAAAAATGTATATTATAACAAACTTTGATATGCGTCGTATAAAAAAATAAAATCTACTTGTTTTTGATAAAACAATTTAAAATTTTTGACATATCAATGTTCCCAAGCGTTGATGCAAAGACATAACCTCGGTCGTAGCGAAAGTCAAATGTTAATGTCAAAATTTATCTGCTATTTGGTTACATTTCGTACTGAGATTTAAATTACAATAATGTTTTTTTTTTTTTTTTTGTCGGCTCGTCTCTCATAAATGAAGTGCCTATTTTTTCCATGGCTTTGGCCGTGCAGTAAATTCTTTCGTTATGTGAATCTTTTTTCTACTAATGTCGCGTTTCGTCGCATCAACACAGCTGCTGGGACAATGAACTGTCAAATCAATTTTGAAAAATTAATTCGAATTCGTTGAAAATGTTGAAAAATGCATATCAGTACAAAATCCGATTGGCATCGTATAAGAAAACATATAAAAATCTACTTATTTTTGAAAAAAAAAACGTTTTAAAACGTTTGACATATGTTCCAAACCCGTACTCTACTACCATGACAAATAGCAAAATGTAAACAAACATTAACATATATAGCCCGTTCCAGAACTGCAAAAATGCAAAATTTTTGACCCTTTATAATGTAAATTATAGCAAAACTAGTAGATTCTTGCAGGTTCTGGAACAGTATAGTCTCATTTTGAACAGGTGGCCTTTAAAGTACGTTTACATACAATCTTTATTCCGGTTAACCTTGATAGTTGGCCCATCACCATAAATTATGGGAAACAATAAAACTACTTAAATTGGTAAACGTACTTTAATCTAGTATGCAATGAAATTGACAGTTAAAAAGTACTGGCTTACCATTGTAGAAGAATTCAGGTAGATGCATCAACGCTTGGGCACATTGATATGTCAAAAAATTTTAAATGTCTTTTCAAATATAAGTAGATTTTAAAATGTTTTCTTTTGGGACGTCATTCGGAGGTTATTTAAATACGCTTTTTTAACAAATCTTACAAATTTAAATAATTTTTCATTCAACATTTTCAATTCCAAAATTGGTTTGACAGTTCATTGTCCCAGCAGCTGTGTCGATGCGTCTACCTATATTCTTCTACCATGCTGGTTTACGTACAAATATATGACGTTTATAGTTTGTATTAAAACTGATTTATGTTAACGTCAGCATGAGTATTTTTAGAAATACAATGTAAACCTGACCTTTTGACGCAAATGTCATATTTAAACGAATTTTCAGAATGTTGAAAGGAATGAAACGCATTCAAAATTGTGAAAGGTAATTTCTTATTGTCGCTAAACTGATTTTCACAAAAATTCTTACAACAAATGCATATGTTAGATAAGTCAATTTATAATTTGCTCTATTGTTATATTAGAAATATGACAATTAAATACATCACCTCAAATCAAATTTAGTCATTGTTAATGTTTAAACGAAGACATAAGGCAATACATTATCATAATTATAAATAAAAAACGAAACATTTCAGAGATTAAAATAACTGCGAAATTGTTATAGTATGCGATATACTGTCATGTAAATATTTGTTTGTAATTTAGCCTAAATGAGAAAGATACAAAACCAATTCATATTCGTTATTGTATACCCAAAAACACACAGAATTAATGGTTCAAAAAAGGACATGGAGAATGGCTTTGTTTACAAACGACATTTTCTTTCAGTGTAGTCCATAAAATGCTTACGCGTTGTATTTGCGAATAAGTTTTATATAAATCCATGGCATAGTCACAGATTGTGTATGTTTATTTTTTTTAATGTAATTTGTACGTATGTATATTTATCCTTAATTATATGCATAAATATAAATAAAACACCCACATATAAATATATGTATAGCAAATAATTAATTATTAGTTTTTTTTTTTTTGTTTCAATATTTAAATTTTTTCTCTTAATTAGTTTGTTTAATACTATGTAAAAATTAATATCATTATTTTTTAAATGTTTATTAAATTTATTAAATGAATAAGTAAATAAAATGTACAAAAACATGCAAAACGACTTGATTTTTATTGATTTATTTGATTAATGGTATGATAAGATTCATAAAAAAAGTACTTGAATTGAAGCCTACCCTACCTTAAGATGGCAAAAAATAACCAAAAACAAGTAAAAAACATAAAGTTCGGCCGGGCCAAACTTTTAATACCCTCCACCTTAGGGTAAGAAATGTGGCAAAAACCATTAAAATGCCGAATATCAGGAAGTACCGTTATATGGGGGCTATACCAAATAGTGGACCTACACATACAATGTCACGCCACACGAACTAGGACCCATTATGACCCACAAATACCAATTTTTAGACAAATCAGTGAAAAAATGTGGCAAAACCAATCAAAACACTGAATATCGGGAGGTACCGTTATATGGGGGCTATACCAAATCGTGGACTCATGCATGCAATGTTTCGCCACCGGAGCTGGAACCCATTATGACCAACAAATACCAATTTTTAGACAAATCCATGAAAAAATGTGGCAAAAATAATCAAGATACCGAATATCATGAGGTACCTTTATATGGGGGCTATACCAGAACGTGGACCGATATATCTCATTTTCAATACCAATGATCCTAAACACAATACAAATTGCTCTGCTAAATTTGGGGCTCTACGTCAAACAATGTGGGCTGTATCGTGATTTCAACAGACTGACAGACGGACATCGTTAAATCGACTTAGAATTTTATGCATATATAATATGAATATATATACTTTATGGGATCTACGACGAATATTTAAGGATGTTACATTTTTTACAATTACGGTAAATAATGTCGCAATCATGAAAATACGGAGTATCGGGAGGTGCCGTCATATGGGGGCTATACGAAGACGTGAACCTGCATAGACAATTTTTTGCAATTAGTTGTAGTACCCATTACGAACTTTAAATACGAAATTCGAAATAATTCCGGTATATAATGTCGCTAAAATCATCAAAATACCGAATATCGGGAGGTACCGTTATATGGGGGCTATACCAAAAAGAGTGGACACATACAATGTCTCGCCACACTAACTAGGACCCATTATGACCCACAAATACCAATTTTTAGACAAATCAGTGAAAAATGTGGCAAAAATAATCAAGTTACCAAATATCGGGAGGTACCTTAATGTGGGGGCTATACCAAAACGTGGACCTATACGTGCAATGTTTTGCCACACGCACCAATTTTCAGGCAAATCCGTAACAAATTTGGCATAAATCATCAAAATACCGAATTTCTGGAGGTGCCGTTATATGGGGATTTTCGAAGACGTGGACTTGCATACAAACGTGTACCGACATGGCCAATTTACGAATTTAACCTGCCTACTGGTAAACTATGCATGTGTGCAAAATTTTAGCCTTCTATCTCAATTCGTTCGAAAGATAGCGTGATTACCACAGACAGACGGACATCGCTAGATCAAATTTTACGCTGATCCAGAATTTATATACTTTGTAGAGTCTATTATCAATATTTCGAGGAGTTACAAACGAATGACAAAGTTAATATACCCTCCATAGAATAGTGGAGGGTGTAATAATGCATCTTCCATTGTATTATCAAGAGCAAATAAAAGTGTAAGTTTTTTGTCATTGTTCGAACGCAAAATGCAAGGAATGCCTTTGAGGAAACCTTCACGACTTTAGAGTGTACCCACAGTAGAAGAATACAGGTAGATACATCAAGGCTTGGAAACATTGATATGTCAAAAAATTGTAAATTTCTTTTCAAATATATATAGATTTTTATATGTTTTCTTATACGACGTCATTCGGATGATATTATAATACACGTTTTTCAACAATTTTTACATATTTAAATAATATTTATTTAACATTTTTAATTCCAAATTTGGTTTGACAGTTCATTGTCCCAGCAGCTGTGTCGATGCCTCTACCTAAATTCTTCTACCATGAGTTCATAAAAAATTCGATCGTGAAAAGATCTATTTGTTTTTGGTAAATCTTGTTGAATAAAAGTTAACCCAAATTACCCACTCACAACCGTATAAAATGTCGTATCTAAACGCGCTACTAGTTTGATATTTACCATTGTATTGTCATTAATCGTTCTCATGGTAGAAGAATATAGGTAGACGCGTCGACACAGCTGCTTGGACAATGAACTGTCAAACCAATTTTGCAATTGAAAATTTTGAATGAAAAATTATTTAAATTTGTAAAAATTGTTGAAAACGCGAATTATAATAGCCTCGGAATGACGTAGTATATAAAAATGTACTTATATTTGAAAAAACCATTTAAATTTTTTTGACATATCAATGCTCCCAAGCTTTGATGCACCTGTATTCACCTGTATTCATCTGCCATGATCGTTCTCGTTCACTCATTCGTATTTATTATTACTGTTTTACTTTGTTGTAAACATGCATTTGTGTTGCTTTCATATATGATCCAATTAAGATTTCCAACATCATTTTCCTTCGTTATTAATTAATATGGATCTTCTCAAACTGTTTTTTTTTCGATATTTCCCAACGCCTCACTTTCCCGCCCATGCCGACCACCCCATAACGTAGGGAGCATGGTAGAAAAATACAGGTAGATGCATCAACGCTTGGGAACATTGATATGTCAAAAAATTTTAAATGTTTATTCAAATATAAGTAGAATTATATATGTTTTCTTATACGACGTCGTTCGGAGGTTATAGTAATTCGGTATTTTGAGCATTTTTTACAAATGTAAATAATTTTTCATTCAACATTTTCAATTGCAAAATTGGTTTGACAGTTCATTGTCCCAGCAGCTGTGTCGATTCGTCTACCTATATTCTTCTACCATGGTAAGGAGCACGTACACACCATAGTCCGGATTATATGGGGTTAGTAGACTTGGGAAACCGGCTACATTAGACCATCAGCCGGTTTAAAAATTAAAAAGAATTGAAGTAACTAAACTAAACTATAGTAAAACTAAACAATACAAATACTAAATCACAGACACTAAGTCTGGCAATTATTCTATAAACTAAGAACGTAGGATAGAGTTTTTTATGACATGCAAGGGTTCACACAAAGAAATCGTGTTATATAATTTATTATAATCAGCACATAAACTTCGGAGAGGATTATTTATTTCAAAGTTCGATTTTGCTAATGTTAGTGTAAGTGGTATATAATAACATGTATTACTCGAGGGGACATTGAATTTAATTTCACCAGTTTAAAACTCAGAATCAATTTGACCACGCAAAAGTTTGATGATAAAAATACGTCTAAGCATTAATCTCCTTTTCTCTAGTGTAGGAAGATCGATAAGTTTAAGCCGTTTCTCATAAGGTGGGAGAAGTTCATTAGAATTCCATCCTAAACCTCTCAGAACAAACAAAAGAAATTGAACCTGTACAGACTCTATCTTTTTTGAATATATTTTATAGAAAGGACTCCAAAGTACACAGCCATATTCTAAAGTAGGTCGAACAAGGCTGATAAATAAGCGTAACATAAGGATCGTCGAATTCCTTTGACCAACGTT